GAAGAAAGACGATTAGAAGCATATCTATAGAAACACATTGAATTAATAAAAATGAATGATTAGAAATTATAGACATTTGAGTAAGTATAAGTAACCAAAATTTGATAGTTAACATACTTATACCAATCGGAGAAATTATTGATAACACGAAAAGATAAAAACCACAATTGACTTGTCTAATTTTTGCAGTTTTAAATGTTATTCCACAAAGAAATCCATTAACAAGACCTAATATAAACATGATTATAGTTACAGTGGCAGAAATTTTGACAACCATTGGCTGTTGAATAAAAACTACGTAAGGTCGAATTAAATTACCAAGAATGACATCAAGTGATAAACTGGTACCTTTCGTCGTTAATTGACAACGAGTACCATAGTAGCATTCTGTACATACACATATATATTTTGTAGGACAAATAGAATTATCTTGGAAACATAGACCATCATTTAGACAATAATTAACACCTTGACAATTATAGGTCATGTTCTGATCGAATTCAAAACAATTGGCATATCGTTCTTCATCACACAGACACATGGAAATATTGTCGTAAAAACAGACTAAAGTAGATTGCTGTTGACAAGGTAATTGATAATATTTGATACGTTGTATTAAATGTAATTTAACAATGGTATTATTGAATAGATGTTCAATAGGTTGGCATTGTTGTGTGGCAATTAATTCAATATGAACATCAGTTTTTGAAAAAACTTTCGTTTTTTCAAGAGTCGTCAAAAAATAATTACCAAGAAATTCAATGATAACCAAATGAAAATGAATCGATGAATAAATAATTGCTATGTTTTGACCAAGTAAAACTTTCGAAAATGTCGTCGTACGTTCATGAGGTCTATCACCTGGTGCGTAAATAAAATGTATTAGAATTGATAGTGGAATTTTAGTATCATAAAACGAGACTATAATCTTTCTATCAGCTATGTTACATTGTTTACCAGAATATCCTGCTTTACAAATACAGTACCATTGATTATTTATGATGCGTTGATCAAATGGTACACATTGTCCAACATTTTGACAATTTTCTTTCGAACAAATCGACTGTGTTAATGAACATTGTCTACCATATTTTCCAAGTGGACAGATACATATTCCTGGTCCAATACAGACTGAATCGGATGAACAAATGGGTGTCTCATATTTAGTTAAACATCGAGGGTCTGACCAACCGAGATCACATCGACAAAAATCGTTTTTGGTATTTTCATATTTTCTACATTGACCATGATTACATTGAAGTTTGCAGTCTACAATTTGAATATTGAAAACTGGAATAATCAAATGAATTGCTAAACGATTTACAGGTAGAAATAAAAATTCAATTGGAAATAACCAACTTGTATGATAATCTAATGATATTGCAGTAAATGCATCTATACGAATAGAATAATTCTTTGTTGCATCTTTAGGTCGGGTTGAATACAATAGATAGATATTAAATTTTTTACTACAATCTCGAATTCCTAGATAATTAATATGTTCGTATGAATAAATTTGACCTTCATCATCAATTAATATGATTACAATAGTAAATACCATGCGAAAGTCAGCAACAGCTTGTAACTGTAATGTAAGACTGACACGTTGATTTTGATATTGACATCGATCTCCATAATAACTAGGTGGGCATAAACATATGAGCTTGCTATATTTAGCTTGAATGGGAATACCTCGATTACATCGCCAAGTTCGAATAAGTTCTGAAGTTTGATCATCATTGCTACGATTATCGTATTTCAAAGGATAATTTGTTGATAAAGATCGATTTTTTTCTAATGTATTATTTAAATCATGAATTTTCGTATTCATTTGATCGGAATATAATGAAAAATAGACAATAGACTTCTTTGATGCATCCGTTAAACTACAAAGAAATTTTTCAACATCTGTGCGATCTATTTCCAATATATCATCACAAAAATGACTTGTTGTTAAATTACGTTTAAGACAAAATATCTCATCATCATTGAACGAACAAGTTGACTTTTGATTACAGAGTCGATTAGGTTGAAGACACATTGTATTCGGATTTGTATGATTTCGACAAAGAAATCGAGCAAAAGGATATTCAGGCTCATGCATGCGACAAATTCGACGTTCATCGGATCCTCCTAGACAGTCTACAATACCATCGTTCGCTTTTGAAATTGGTATACATGTTAAATTATTTGTTATTGGTGAAACACACATGTGATTCGATGGTGAACAAAACGATACGGAACAATTAACTTCATCAGCTCCATCAAGACAATTCCAAATTCCATCACAACGTGAATATATAGTATTACATGGCCATAAGTGACAATTAGTCTCATCCGATTCATTTTGTTCGTTAATCATAATAAATGATAATTCTTGAAAACCATCACATATTGTTTGAAAAGAAATACGTCTTTTAGGTATTTCAATATCGGCCAATGCTTCATCGTCATTTATTAAACAATCAGTTTTAAAATCATGTACTGATATCCATGATATACAACGATCTTCCATAGAACATTTAAAACGATGTTGATGATCAAGAGAACAACTATTATTAAAAGTTTCATCATCATTCATATAACAATCTTGATTACCATCGAGTAAACGATGTTTTGAAATACATGTTAAAGTATTCGAGCATTGATATAATGATGAATATAAACAATGAGTTGTATTAGTTAATTTTTTATATGTTAAGCAACCTTGAAAAAAACCTTTAATTGGTATTAGAAGGTCATTCCATTGGCGTGTAATAACTGTGTTTTTACTTAAACCAAATTCTGAGAAAGATATGCATTTCGAATTATTAAATAAACCAATATCGACTGTTGGAAGAGAATGTTGGCATAATTGTTTTTCATAGCACACAAATTCGGGAAGTGGAGAAAGTATCGAATTATAATTGGATTGATTATTTGTATAGGCAAAAAATACATTGCCAGGAAAAATATACATTGGAGGAAATTGAAAAAGACTCGGACATTCTTTTCGCACTATTTCAGCACAGGAAACGTTAGCACAAATACTATAACATGGAATATCATCGAGACGATTTCGACTTAGAGTTAGACAAGCCATCATACGATTGCAGTCATTCGATAATAAATCCATAGGAAGATAAGAAATCGATCGTTCATTTGTACATTGATTATCTATTCCAATGCATTGACCATCACCACATGAAAACATCAAGTCATTTCGTGAATACATACATATATGTTCTTCACAACGAAAAGCTGGATCAGCAGGACAAAGTTCAGGATACAGTTGTAATGATGGTTCATCCGATCGATCAAGACAATCGGGATTGATAGGATCATCATGAAGAAATTTCTCTGGAATACAATGAGCTCCATTATGACATCGATATTCGTTCTTTGAACATTCATTGATTTCAAGTTGCCAACAATATTCTTCATCAACACCGTCATTTAATCAATTTGTTTTCATAATATTTCAATTGAAAAATGACTTTTATTTCAAGCAATTAAATAGATATACGAATTTATCATGTTATATACATTTAGTATGTAATCGAGGACACGCACCACTTTGTCTTGATTGGCGTGAAATATGTGATGGAAGAGTTGATTGTTTAAATGACGGTGTTGATGAAGAATATTGTTGGCAACTTGAAATCAA